ACCAGCAACAGGTCATGTGCCTGCAGGACAATGGGCACCAGGGGTCTATGAATCCTTTGCCAGAGAACAAGGACCCTCGCTGGTGATGATCATTGACTTGATTTGAAGCTCACAGCACCAAGTGTAGGTGACACCACACAGAGGCAGAGGGACCCATTAGAGCTTCGTGTGGATGTCCAGGCTGAGGACAAAGACACACCTCAAGGGGAAAGGGAGCATGTATCATGTACAGAGTTGAAATCTCAGGGAGGAATAGGAAAGGCCCTTCAGTAAGTCAGGAATGTTTTGACAGAGCCAGGAAAGTAGGTGGTTGGGGAGGGGAATTCTACTTAACAGGGGTTTCTGTGGTTTCAACCTCCTAATGACATCTAATAAGGAGAAGCAGACTTTCTTAGTACATTTCCCATGTGTGGCCAGTGGAGGAGAGGCAGGAATGGGCCATAAGCTGGCAGCAGTGAAACATAAGTTAAAATAGAGTCAGACTACCTATTCCACTTAACTATTAATGCATAAGAAAAAAACAAGATAATAATTTATTATGAGTAGATTGCAAGTGGGTATAGTGAAAATGAGAATGATGATGAGTATTTAAATGCTGACAATAGAAGTGGACAGTGGTCTTGGATCAATCTCTTAGGTGGGTTCCGTTTTTTAATCCAGTGTCATCAGCTTTTTGGAAGGCTGTGGGTCAACCGACAGGTGGGGCCTTTGTGGTTTCACTCTCCCAATGGCATCCAGAGAGGACACACCTGCTTTATGTTCTGATGATGTATCTCTGTGTGTGGACAATCACATGTACACAGAAATTAAGAACACTTATAAGTAATCAAATAATAACAATGATGATGGGCTGAGAAAGGGCTCTTGGTCCCATGAACCTGTGGCTCCTCATGCAGACACACCATCACCAGGGCTCCTCCACTCAGAGATGCCCTCTCCTCCCTGTCAGGGTTGCAGTTCCCTTTCCCATGAGCAAATCTGGCTAGGGAAACTCTTTATTTCCCTCCCTCTGAACTCCAACCTCATTGACAACACTAGGCTGAAAAAAACAGGTCAGTAAATCTCCTGCCATTATCATTTCTGCATTTGAAGATCCTGAATCGTAGACATTCAGTTACTATTTTCATTGAGAACCTTTGTTCCATGTAAAGCAGTGACTACATCTGACATGATTAGTTTGGAGCCTCTGCAGTGTTCCCTGGGCTTGTATATGGGATGGATGCAGCAGGGGTTGTAGCCACAATCACAGAACCTCCAACATCAAGAATCAAGAATGTCCCACTTTCCGGTTCTTGGGCCGTACTTACTCAGATCAAAATAATATCACAATGTAAAAAATATGGCACTGAAAATGGCTTTGCTTTACTGCTTATCTTATACACCAAATGAGACATGGTTTCAATATTAAATTATGATGTAAAAATCCAGAAATTGTGGATATATTAGAGTTTGAGGGTGCAGTAAATGTGGGAAAATGCTAACAAAAATTAATTCTGTGTGAAAGATGTTTGAGAATTTAAAGTGTCACTGACTCATCTAGTCCACAATTTCCCCTTATTCTCAAAATGTGAGGCCATCCTTTGATCATATTCCAATGTGCCTCATAAACAAGGTGATCCCCTACCCCTGACGTACATGTTGAGTGAGCTCATGAGAAGAGATTCACCCTCAGAGGTCCCAGAATGTACAGGATACCTTACCTCTGTCCCTCTACATGTATGGGAAAGGCTTCCCCACCTGCAAATTTCCCTTTCAGCTCCAAGGTAAATTCTCACCTAGGCTGTGGGGGCTCACACCTCTCTCCTCAGACAGAACTGAGTTCTCTGGGGAAAGCAGAGCTGTGCTCTAGAAGATGAAAAAGCTGGGTGTCCTCCTTTGCCTGGTGACAGTGCCCCAGGGTGAGTGTCTCAGATGTCAGACATGGGTCTATGGGATGGTGGTGACTGCATGTGACTGACAGGGATGGATGCCCCTTGTGCCCAGATGTCCTCTCCCTGGTGCAGCTGCAGGAGTTGGGCCCAGAACTGGTGAATCCCTCAAAGACCCTCTCCCTCACCTGCACTGTCTCTGGGATTTTCTCTAATGAGATACACTGTGCACTGGATCTGCCAGTCTCCAGGGAAGGGGCTGGAGTGGGTCGGTGCTATATGGAGTGGTGGAAGTGCAAACTACAACCCAGTGCTGAAATCCTGACTCAGAATCACCAGGGACACCTCCAAGAGCCAAGTTTATTTAACACTGAGCAACATGAGAGCCAAGGACATGGCCCTGCATTACTGTGTGAGAGACACAGTGGGAATTCAGTGTTAGTGGACACAAACCTCCCTGCAGGAAGGGCTGAGACCACCAGAGGGCGATCAGGGTCCCTGAACACAAGGACTCTCCCAGCAGCAGGTGTAGTTGGAAGTTTGGTCTGGTTTTCTGTCTGGTTTCTTCTTCCTTTAACAGTCCCCCCCAGGAAACCTGTGTGGGTTCTAATTCTGTTCTTGCCTCTGGTGTCTCCGAGTTAGAAATGTCTGTTGCAAAGAAAGAAAACATTCTCACATAGACAAAAGGCAGAGTCTCTTTCAGACTCTGCTGTGCCCAATTCCAATGCACTATGAAACCTTCTGACCCATGTCAGCTGATTCTAACCAGAGACTCTGCTGGGCCCTACACAGGCCCCAGACCCACACAGCTGGCCAGCAGCAGGACATGTGCACGGTGGACAGGGGCACCAGAGACATATGAACCACACACCATGGGAGAAAGAATGCCGGTGGTGACAGTCACTGACTTGGCAGCATGTGCACAGCACCAAACGAAGGCGACATGGCAGAGGACAGTGGGATCTGTGTCAGCTTGGGGTGGATGCCCAGGATGACAAACCCACAGACCACTGGGACACGGGGTGTTTATCACACATGTAGTTGAAATCCCTGAAAGGAACAGGAGAGGCCCTTCAGCAAGTCAGATTATTGTCGTAAGTCCTCGTTAGCCCCTGGTTTGTTACTGAGTCATGAATCACCGGAAAATGATACTATGTTGAGGTTCTCGATGGGATTCTCCAATAAACATACAGGATGTTCACGAGTTTCCCAGTAAACATAAAACATGTGAGCACAGTCCTAGATTCAGCTCTTCCTCCTGCTTGTCACACTCTGACCCACACCCTAGTCTTAGCCTCCCTGGGATTTGAGTTAATTTCCTTTTTCTTCAGTTCCAGCTGACATTCTATATATCCATTTATATGAGCTTCTAGTCCACATCAGAGTGGTCAGGCATTTATGCAATGTGTGATATGCTGGCCCAGTATACAAGTATCAACCAGGTGCCACACTCAACTAATACAACATTGTTCACTTTGTTCCCTGGGCTATGCCTTACAACCTGTGTCCAATAGGTACCTCTTAGTCCCTTTACCTTTATGTTTTTCATCCTGACTTCCAAATCTCCTCCTACCTGCAAATCTCTCATCTCTTCTCTGGGTATGAGAGTCTGTCTCTATTCTGCTTGTTTCTTTATTTTGTTCTTTAGATCCACATAGAAGTGAGATCATGTGGTATGTGTGTTACTCTGTCTGACTTATTTAAATCAGCATACTGCCCCCCTAGGTACATCCATATTGTCCCAAAATGGTAAGATTTCACTTTTATAGCTGAGTGAAGAAGATGGGTTAAATTCCAAACCAGTCCTTTTTTTTATATCAATGACTAGATTTCAATTTGAGGTTATTGCTGAGGAAAGTGACATAGGACAACTTTAACTTGCTACATGAGGAGAAAAATCACAATATGAAGAACAATAATTCTGGAAGTGCTGGCTCCAGGCTTGTTGAATCCCACCATCCATGCACCTGGGAGGATCTCTTCCCAGTTCTGCACGCAGATCCCTGCAGAATGTGACTCATGTTTGGGTGATGCCCATCTCCTGTGGACAAGATAGCACTGTTCCTGGGATCATGGGCAGACATGAAAACAAATGAAGGAGGGAGAATACAAAGCTTCTGAAATTTACTTCTCATGAACCTGAGATGACCTGTCCCCTTGCATTTCTGACTAGATCTATGCCCCACATCCACAGATCCACAGGCGGTGATTTTGAAAATGAGGACAACTGCCATGGTTGACCCGTTTCATAGAAATTTAGAACCACCAGTGGCAGAAAGGAAGGCTATTTACATTATTTATTTACTCGGTGATCGATGGTTAAAGAAAAATGATGACCTTCACATGAACAAGATTATATTTACATCTTTTATTTCATGTTAGTGGTTGTCATCAAGATTTTCCATAACAAATTTCTATAAGTTTAACATTGTTACTCAACAGTCTTTACCTGCATTTTCACCTAAGCAGTTCTAGCCATGACTGAGTTTCTTCTGTGTCCCCAATATTTGAACCTGGTTTTACCACACAGTCTAAAGAATAAAAACAAAAGTGAAGTAGGGAGGCTGCTGTACATTCAGCACTAAACTCCACTCAGGAGCACTGTCTCATTCTCTATATAGTTTATGCTTCTGCCTCCCAATGATCTACACAGATGTTTCACCTCCAACAACACCAGGTCCACATACTCTAGGGTCACAACCTGTTCTCAGTTCCTGCTCTGATCACTTTGTAGGGGAAATAAGGTCAGATGGAATGTCTTGTCTCCTGAATTTGAAACTTTCACACTTTCAATTTTCCCTCTGATCACAAGGGTTGAATTATCTTGGTGTGTTCATTAGTGAGGAGTTTCAAATGAATCTCTCATCCTAAATCCAGTTTGTTTTATGACTATTTTCTCTTCTACTTCATGTACAGGTGTGCTGAAGCTGTTGGATTAGTGATGAGGGCACAGAATTACATGTGGAGAATAATTCCTAACAGACACAAACTGTAGGAAAAGCCACACTCAGGGACTATGTCCTTCATGTGACTGTCCAAGCACAGAGCTCCCTATATAGTAGAAAGACATGCAAATAGGGCCCCTTTGCTCATAAAAAGCAGCCCAGCCCTGACCCTGCAGCTCTGGGACAGGAGCCCAGGCCAGGATTCCCAGGTGTTCCCAGCTCCTGCTCAGGACAGAACACACATCTCTCACCATGGAGTTTGAGCTCAGCTGGGTTTTCCTTGTTGCTATTTTAAGAGGTAATTTATGGAGAACAGGAGCCACAGAGTATGTGAGTGGATATGACTGAGAGAAACTGTGGACAAGTGACAGTTTCTTGACCTGATGTCTTGTGTTTGCAGGTGTCCAGTGTGATGTGAAGCTGGTGGTGTCTGGGGGAGGCTTGGTGAAGCCTGGGGGGTCTCTGAGACTCTCCTGTGTAGCCTCTGGATTCACCTTCAGTAGCTACCAAATGAGCTGGGTCCTCCAGGCTCCCGGGAAGGGCCTGGAGTGGATTGGTGAAATTAAGTCTGATGGGAGTACACAGAACTATGGCAATTCAGTAAAAGGATGATTCACCATCTCCAGAGACAATGGCAAGAGCACGCTGTACCTGCACATGAACAGCCTGAGAGCTGAAGACACAGCTGTGTATTATTGCACTACCTACACAGTGACAGAAAGTCAGTGTGAGCCCAGACACAAACCTCCCTGCAGGTGGGCCCAAAGCACCAGGTGGCGCTCTGGGCACGTGAATATAAAGACACTCCCAGAAGCAGGTTCAGTTGAAGGTTTGGGCTGCTTTTCTGTCTGGTATCATCTACTTTCAACAGTTTCTCACAAAGAACCTCCTTGGATTCCTGGTTCTGCACTCACTTCTTAAGCCTCTGAGTTAGAAGAATATGGATTAAAGAAAGACAACTTTCTCAGAGGTAGTGAAGCTACCACAGACTCTCTCCCTCATCTGCACTGTCTCTGGATTCTCCACCACAACCAGTGGTTCCTGCTAGAACTTGATCCAGCAGCTCCAGAGTAGGGGCTGGAGTGGAACAGGTGCATGTATTCTGCAGGAAGCACTAACTGTAGCCTGTCCCTCAAGAGCTGCACCTCCATCTCTAGAGATATGCCCAAGAACCAGTTCTCCCTGCAACTGAGCTCACCAAGGTCAAGGTTATAGCCATCAAGGACAGGGCTGTGTATTACTGTGCAAGACATACAGTGAGGGAAAGTCAGTGTGAACCAGACACAAACCTTATTGAGAGATCTACGAAGGCTGGGCTGCAGAGGGTGATGTGGACACCAGGGTGTGCTCAGGACACCAAAGGGCACAGTAGAAAACAACCCTGACCCTGGCCCGCAGAGATTCTCATATCACAGAACTGCTTTCATGGGCCCCCTGTTCCTGCATCAGCACCTGCTTCTGCTCCTGGGGAGAAGCCTGCCCATTGTCCCCTGTCATACTTCCCATGGGGGCACTGGCTGTGAGCTCTGAGAATGGGGACCTGTGGGCTGTGGGTCAGGGTGAGCCCTGCATGTCATGTTAGTGTTGGACATACTGACTGGACAAGGGTCCCCTAGGTCTGACCTTTACAGGACAAAGCAGACCCTTCTTAGTGTGTCTTTGCAGTTTGAGAGGTGCTGGGAGAATGGGAAAGCACAAGAGTGGGCACTCTCCAGTGTTCATGCCAATCATGTGTGGTTCTGTTCTGTTGTCAAAGATGGTCACTCATTAGATTCAGGTCAAGGTGGGGGCCCTGCCCATTTTCCAGGAGCAAGGAAAATGGGAGAGCTGGAGTCACTAGTATGAAAACCATTGTGATGTGTGTGTGTGTGTGTGTGTGTGTGTGTGTGTGTGTGTGAGAGATTTATTGGGCACTGGAAGTGTAGTGGGTTTAGGGCCACATGCAGGGATCCTCAGACAGGACCTTCTACCACAGAAACCTGAAGACATCAGAGCCCCCCACACTCCAAGAGTTTCAGGAATCATGGATTCTGGCTGAGTCAGTGCATCTGGAAGCATCAGGAAAGGGGCTCCCCAGTGACATCAGAGAGCTCTGGCTGGGGGTGCTCCCTGCAGAGTCACTGTGTTTTAGGAAGGCCAGATCTCTGTACTTGCACATGTTGAAGCACATGGTGTCCTTGAGAGAATACCCTGAAGTCAGGGAACAGCCTTGGCTACAGATGCTGAGGTGTCCATTCCCTGTGAACCAAGACAGGACCCTGCCCTGCAGGACATAGGCAAAGCAGCAGATGACACGTGGGACCTTGACTGTGGACTTTGAGCCTGCAGGCCTGTGGGACATAAATGCTGTTGTCAACTAGCTCCTTGGTCCTTGATATGCAGTTATAGCAGCCTGAACAAACTCAGAGAGGGGAGTCTGTTTCTTTGTCTTTTCCAGATTCTAGAACTTCATTTTTCCCCCATGGACTCTCCTTCCTTCTCCACAGCCTGGAGCAGCTCATCTGATGTGAGGGGTCATATCACTTTCTTATTCCCATGGCCTCTCATCTCCCTATGCTTCCCTGAGAAAGAGAGGTGAGATGCAGCTTTCTCATCTTCGTCTAGAGCTCGACTCTGTCTTCACCAGAGGAGAGAGGCAGGAGCACCCACAGCCCAGGGGAAAATTTGCCCTGGAGCTGGGAGACAAGTTGCATGTGGCCAGCTCTTCTCACACAACTAGGGAGAGACTGGGATCAGGCACCATCAAAATTCTGGGACTTTTGTAGGGCACCCCTTCTCTTGAACTCACTCATCATGTATATCAGGTAAAGGGGATACCCTCATTTATGAGACACTTTGGAATTAGATCAAAGTGCTGCCTCATCCCTTTGAACATAAGAAGAAATGGTGGACTAGAAGAGTCAGTGACACGTGAATTCTCATGCATCTTTCATCAGATTCGAAAGGGGATTACCATTTGGTCAGATTTGGTAACCCAATATTTAAAGATATCTAGAAATATCAATTTCCTCACTGTGATTTTATATTCTAATATTATTTTTTATTTTATTTGGAGGTATATATATATATATATAATAAGCCAAACTTTTCTCCACAACCTCTCCAGCACTTGTTGTTTGTTGATTTGTTAATGATGGCCATTCTCAATGGTGTGAAGTGGTATCTCATTGTGGTTTTAATTTACACCGCTCTGATGGTTAGTGATGTTGAGCATCCTTTCATATGTCTTTGGGTCCTCTGTATGCCCTCCTTGAAGAAGGGTCTGTTCAAGTACTCTGTCAATTTTTAATTGTATTGTCTTCCTTCCTAGTGCACTGTTGGTGGCAATACAGACTGGTGCAGCCACTGTGGAAAACAGTATGGAATTTTCTCAGGAAACTACAAATGGAACAGCCTTTTGACCCAGCGATTCCACTACTGGGATTATATCCTATGACCCTTGAAAGACCATTTTAAAAGAACCTATGCACCCCAGTGTTCATAAGACCATGATTTACAACAGCCAAAGGCTGGAAGCATCTAAGTGCCCATCGATAAGTGAGTGGATTAAAAAAAAAAGTTATGGTACATTTACACGATGTAATACTACACAGCAGAAAGAAAGGAGCTCCTGCCCTTTGCAATGGCATGGATGGAATTGGAGAGCATTGTGTTAAGTTAAATAAGCCAGTACATGAAAGACAAATACTGTATGATATCACCTATAAGTGGAACCTAATGAAAAACACAAACACATAAACAGAATACTGAAATTAAGAAGAAACTGACAGTAACCAGAGAGAAGGGAGAAGGATAATGGGTAAAATAGGGGAAAGTCCCTCAAGGAACAGATGTAAAGGACACATGGACAAAGCCAAAGGGGGTAGGTTTGAGGGTGGGAGGTGGGAATGGGTGGGACAGGGGAACAGAGTGTGGTGAAAATGGGGACAATTGTACTTGAACAACAATAAACTATAAAAATAATTTGATATGTTTCAATTTAATATTAATTTATGACTTTTTTACTAAGTAAATTCACACCAAGCACAAGCTGGAGAGAGTCATAATTTTTATGGAAGGTTTTTATTGTGGCTACATCTCCCTAATGCACGCTCAGGGACATTTCAGAGTCCCTAAACCAATTATGCATGTGTACATCTGTGAATTTTTTATATGATAAAATAATTATGGTGTCAGCTTAACTGACATCTTTCCTCAGCATAGTATTGTCAGTAATGCTGGGATTCAGTGGAGGAAAATCAGGGAAATTGCAAGCATAGATTTGATCATAGTAAATGGAACCTCTACCCTGACAGGTAACCCTCACTCCCATCCTCACTCAGCCTTGTTTTTGGGGATGGTCACAGTAGTCAGAGGTTTCAGGGTTTTCCACATAATCTGTGATATTCTTATTGTGTAATGTACTCATTCTTTCATCAGTCTTGTGGTTTCAGAATATATCCTCTATGTAGGCTTCTCTTTTAACTACCTTAATTAACTTTTTATTGGGGTGTTGGGACAAATATTTTAATAAAGATCAATTCCTCATTATTTTAATGGGTTTATTATTCCATGCTTTTACAAAATCTCCCAGAATTTGGCCAGCCAGCATTGTCCATGCTGATTGGATATGGTGGCCATAGAGACTAAAAGAGTCTCTGGTTGCAGGAGTGAGTTGCTGTTGGGAAAATAACCCACAGATATGAGAGTGACTTTGGATCTGGCTAAGGGGTAAGTGATGGACTTACTGTGAGTCTCATGGCACAAACATGACTGATTTTCATGAGGAGAGTGTTAGTAGAAATATGGGTCTGAAGACTCTACCAAAAAGTATGGGACCTGGATTAGGCACATTATACCATCTCAGAAAATACCTAAATGTCCATCAACAGGAGTGTCTCTGGCTTCCACTGGGTTTCTCCTAGGCGTTGATGCAAGAATAAGACCTAGGTCTGGTGAAGCTCACACAGACTCTCTCCCTCACTTTTGCTGCCTCTGGGCTCTCTTTAGTCAGCTATGGAGTGCACTGGGCTTGCCAGGCACCTAGGTAGGGGCTGGAGTGGGTATTGTTACATGGTATGATAAAAGCACAGACTACAATCCAATGTTGAATTCCCAACTGAGCACCACCAGGGGTCTTTCAGGAGTGAAATGTATTTAACATTGAACAGCCAGAGAGCAAGGACACATTCATGTATTAATGTGTCAGACACAGAGAGGGGAATCCTGCATGAGCCCAGACACAATCCTCCCTGGAGGGGTGGGAGGGGAGAGAGGAGAGAGAGAGAGAGAGAGAGAGAGAGAGAGAGAGAGAGAGAGAGAGAGAGACTCCTGTACATGCCCAGACAAGGGTTTATATGTGTCTAATGTGGGTTTGAACCCCCGATCTTCAGTAAAAAGATGACAGTCAAAGCTACTGTACCAAACTGTCCAAGGCTGGGGGGTAATTCTTAACAGACATGCACCTTTGGACAAATCACACTCTGGAGCCATGTTGTTCTCCCCACCACCCAATCCCAGATCTCCATATATAGCAGGAAGACATGCAAATAGGGTCCCTCAGCTCATGAAAAGCAGCCCAGCCCTGGCCCTGCAGCTCTGGGACAGGAGCCCAGCCCAGGAGTTGCAGGTGTTCCCAGTCCCTGCTCAACA